TAAGACGTTGAGAACAGAAACCATGTTTGTCTGACACATTATATTTTAGCATCTAGCAATGCCTAGCATAGAGTATGCAGGAAAGCAATATTTGTTGAATAAATTTAACTTGTATTGGCAACTGTACAAGTTTTGTATAACAGCAGTGGTTCTCAACCTTTCTAATGCCGCGACCCTTTAATACAGTTCCTCATGTCGTGGTGACCCCCAGCCATAAAATTATTTTCGTTACTACTTCATAGCTGTAATTTCGCAGCTGTTAATGAATCATAATGTAAATATCTGTGTTTTCCGATGGTCTTAGGTAACCCTGCTAGGGGTTGAGAACCCACAGGTTGAGAACCTCTGCTGTAGAGCCTAAGTCCATCGGAAAACACAGATATTTACATTACGATTCATTAACAGTAGCAAAATTACAGCTATGAAATAGTAAAGAAAATAATTTTATGGCTGGGAGTCACCACGACATGAGGAACTGTATTAAAGGGTCGCGGCATTAGAAAGGTTGAGAATCATTGAGGTAAGGTTACAGAAAGACAATGAATTTTTAAATCTTGCTTCTGCCACTTTAATATTTGTGGGATTCTAGAACTTAGAAGACTTGACTTCTAAAACTTACTTTTTTCTCATATTAAACAGGTGCAGTGCTTTCAGAATTATAGTAATGAGAAAAGGAATTTGTGGTTATTTGTTTTTATTGATTTTAGAGAAGAAGGGAGACATAGAAACATCAATGTGAGGAAGAATCACTGATGAGCTGCCTCCTGCATGCCCCTCAGTGGGAATCTACCCGGCAACCTGGGCATATGCCCTGATTGGGAATCAAACTGATCTCTTGGTTCAAGAGTTGACCCTCAACCATTTAGCCACACAAGCCAGATGAAAAAATTAAATGAAAAACTTCATGAGTGTAGTGTTCCTAGTATATAAAAGACATTAAAATAAAACAAGAAACAAAACTGCTGTCTCCCCTAAACCACACACCTCACTATTTTAATTTGGGAAATATACTTTTTAATTTGGGGAACCTAGGAAGTATCATATGCTATTCTAGTTTTTCCTTTTTTTTGTTCTGTTCATTTATTATTAATACAAATGTGCTTCAAGTGGTGATCAAAGTTAAGGGTTGATTAGTTTGCAAAGCACTGACGGGTTCACCATTAGAACAGTATTGAGCACCTAGAACAATGCTTGACACAAAATAGGCATTCAATACATATTTTTTTGAAATATAGTGAAAGAATTAATAAAATACTGCAATAATGATGATGTTCCAGATAGATAATTATGGGATGGACATGATGTATTGGGTCTAGTAATAATTAATGTCGTTTAAACATTCGTTTAAAATCTTGCTTGGCGTTGACTTGTATTGACATAACCTTCAAACACGCGGTATCTACAGAACGTGTGAAGTGCAATTAACAAGTTTTGCTTGAAAAAGTTTGTGTTTGGTTTGGTTTTTGTTGCAAAACTAGGGCTAAGAAGATGGCGGATGAAGAGCATATTCGGCACTGCATGCTTTACGAGTTCCAATTAGGAAGAAAAGCAAGTGAGGCTGCAAAAAACATGTGTAGTGCTCTTGGTCAAGATGCAGTTAGCGTCAGAAAATGACAGCGTTGGTTTGAGAAATTTGGCGAGGGAAATTTTTCGTTAGATGACAAGAGTGGTCGAGGCCGTGTGTCCAATTTTGATCAAGAAGCTCTTCAAGCTCTTTTGGTGCAAAATCCTCAAATTACCCAACAAGAGCTTGCGACAACTTTAAATTGTTCACAAAAAACAATTTCCAATCAATTGCGTGCACTTGGCGAAGTCCAAAAGTTTGGAAAATGGGTTCCTCATGAGTTGACCGACAACAACCGTAATCAAAGGGTCACAATTTACAGTTGGCTCCTCTCTCGTCAAAACCGTTTGCCGTTTTTAGAGCAAATTGTTACCGGAGATGAAAAATGGGTGCTGTATGTTAATTTGAAAAGGCGGCCTCAATGGTTGGACAAAAATGAGGCTCCGCAGCCCACGCCAAAACCTGACTTGCATGCGAAAAAAGTGATATTGTGTGTTTGGTGGAATTTTAAAGGAATTCTTCATTATGAACTTTTACCATCTAACCAAACCATTACAAGTGCAGTGTATAGTGCCCAATTGGAAAGGTTAGCCCAAGCTTTAAGAGAAAAAGAACCCGCGCTGATTAATCGGAAGGGCGTAATTCTTTACCACGATAACGCACGACTGCATACTGCAAGAATCACTGCTGAAAAACTGCACCAGTTGGAATGGGAAGTTCTCCCTCAACCTGCATATTCTCCTGATATTGCCCCTTCCGATTACCATTTGTTTCGTTCTTTGCAAAACTTTCTTCTTGGAAAAAAATTTAATAATGAAGAATGCCTCAAAAATGCATTGACCGAATTTTTTGCATCAAAATCACAAGAATTTTACAACAGAGGGATTAAAATGCTTCCTGAGCGTTGGGCACAAGTAGTAGAAAACAACAGCAACTATATTGTTGATTAAATTTTGTTGTATTGTTTAAATAAATTCGATTTAAAAAAAGTATTAGAAAACGACATTAATTATTACTAGATCTAATAAATGTGATTTTATCAAATGAGAGGTTTGATGTGTCCAAATGGGTGACTTCAAAATGTTTCCATCCATGCATTCAAGCAGCATTTTCCCCAAGAATGAAAAACTTAGCTATTGATAGCTAAACACCGTGCTCATGATGACCTCATCACGGGGTTTAACAGCACAGAGCTTGCAGTCCAATTGCAACTTATTCAGTAGAATCCATAGAATAGTAGCAAGGATGGTTGACATGTCTTGACAATTGGGTAATACCACTGCCAGATAGAAACAGGGCAGCTGGACACCAAACCACAGATGGACAGCAGATGCATTGAAGGAAGTCATTGCAGTTGTATGAAATTTGGGGCAGGCTTGACAAAGAGGAAGCCTGCTGGTTTAAGAACTGTATGTTCTTGGCAAAAGCATGGTGTTGAAGAATTTCACCAGCCATAGTAGAAAAAAAAGGGGGGGCGGGGAGAATGGGAATGGAGACACCACAAAATTCATGATATGATAAAATGTTAACTATTAGCTTTGCATCTTTTGAGAATCACTAGATTGAAGAACAGTATTTTAGATTTGGCTGGCAGATGGTATACACAGACTTTCTGAGTATGTTAGCATTTCATTTGAAACTAGCAGGATTACTAGTACATAGGACTGTCACGGTAATTTAACTATATATTTTAAAACTTATCCCAAACCCAGCCAAAGTAGCTCAGTGATTGAGCATCAACCCATGAACTAGGAGTTCACGGTTTGATTCCTGGACAGGACAGATGCCTGGGACATCCCCAGTAGGTGGCGTGCAGGAGGCAGCCGATCAATAATTCTCTCTCATCATTGATGTTTCTATCTCTCTCTCTTCTCCCTTTCTCTCTGAAGTAAAAAAAAATAATTAAAAAAAAACCTAAACCTGGGTTAAAAATCCCTAAACCTGGGTCCCTAATAACATCTAAAAAGGCATTAATAGATTTGGATCTCATAAAACAAAATCACAGTATATAATAATTCCTCTAAAATGCCTACTGGGTAGTGTCAATGTCTCTCCCCCCCCCCCCCCCCGCCTGAAAAATCTGATTTATTCAAGGGAAAAGAAGAAAGACTAAACCAGGGGATGGAGGTAGTGATGCCTCAATTTTTTTGAATGGGACTCCTCCATTTGCCACTCCTCTCATTTCCTTCTGTGGTTCATTCGTCACATCAGCTAGCCTTATAGAGTTCAGGTTGATCTCTGGTTGACATCATCGTACGACTTCCGTTTTCAAATTCCAGTGAAACTTACATGATTCCTGTCCGGTTTGAGCACTGGATAATACTGGCTGGTTAGTATCTAAATGTAGACTGGTAACAAAGAATCGAGTTTTGAAAGAGAGAAACAAAAACAGGTGACATTTCCAAGTCTACCAAGAAAAGGGGAAAAACCTCCAACACTTCTGGGTTCAGTAAGCAGGGGGAGCTTCTACAGTGCCACAAAAAGGAGAGGCCTGCTGGCAGGCTCAGAAGCTGGACGGCTGAAGCCTTTTCCTTTTCCTTTTCCTTAAGGTCAGGAGGATGGCCTTGGGGGCGTCCCTATAAACATATTCTTGATTATGCGAAGGAAGCCTGGGAAGCCAGGAGTCTGACAGCTCCTTCCTCGGCGGGGGAACAGTGAGGAAATGGGGGGTTAGGAAGGAGGGCTGTGAAAGCAGCTGCACCTCCTCTTTGTCATGCTTTTGGTTTCAATCAGAGCCACTAGGACAACCTTGGAGTCGGGTGGGAGAGGGGCGTGGCCGGCCTCAGCGCGCCGAAGACCCCGCCCCTTTCGTAGCCCCGCCCCCTCTGTGACCCTGCGGGCAGCCTCCGGCGACCTGTTGGCCGGGGACGTCACGTGACGCGGCCGGCCGCGCACCCCGCACCCCCGCCTCGGGCGGGCCTCCTGTTGCGCCCGCCGGGCGGGTTCCGTCACGTAACGCGCGGGCACCGCCCCGCTCTTCCCTCGCTGAGCGAGGGTGGGCGGGCGGGCGTTGAAAAGGAAGGGAAGGAAAAGGGGGCGGGAGGAGGAGGCGGGGCGGGCGCTCCAGTCACGTGACCCGGGGGAGCCCGGAAAGCTCCGAGGAGGAGCCTGGCGCCGCCATTTTCCTGCAGCTGCCTGTCCCTCTCAGCCTGCCCGGCTCCAGCTGACCAGCGGAGGGGTGGGCTGAGCTGAGGCGGGGGCAGGGGGAGCGCCCGGCGCCGTGCCTGACCCCGCGGGGGACACGGGCCGTTTCTGTGTTTTTTTTTCCCCGAGCCGGGGTGTCAGCGCGTGGCCCTGAGCCTCGCCCCAGGCCGGCGGGCGGCGAAGGAGCCGGTGGGGGGTCGGGGGTACGGTGGGGGGTGGGGGTCCTCCGGCGCTTGGGGGTCCCAGTCCCCGCCGGCTGCGGAAAGGCAGGGGTGGCGGAGGAGCCGCCGAGATGTCCGGCCAGAGCCTGACGGACCGAATCACCGCCGCCCAGCACAGTGTCACCGGCTCTGCCGTCTCCAAGACAGTATGCAAGGCCACGACCCACGAGATCATGGGGCCCAAGAAGAAGCACCTGGACTGTGAGTGAAGCCGCCCGCCGTCCCCGCGGCCCCGCGTCCGCCTCCCCGTCTCTCCCGACCCCCCTGGAGCCGCCTCTCCCTTCCCCTCCCCGCCGACTGGCCTGGCGCGGCCCGCGGGTGCCGGGCTCGTCCCGGCCGTGTTCTCGCTGCTCCCGCCCGGCACACCTGCCTTCACGGCTTCCGCTCCCCGGCGAGAAATCCCCGGCAAGCCACTCCCCTCCGGTGCCTCGGGGGACCCTCATTTCCCCCAACCGGTGCGCCGCCACACCCCGTCATCACCCCCGACCGACTGGCCCCCCGCACCTGGCGCGCTCCCTCCCCGCCGCCGCCGGCCTGGACCGCGGCCCCTGGCTCTTCCCTCCGGGCCGCCCGGCTCCCTCTCCCGAGCGGCTCCCCGCCGGCCCCGGGCTTCCCTGCCCCATTGTTTCCCGTTAGCCTCCTCCGGGTTTCCGTGAACGCCTGGTGGCGTGAATCCGGATCTCTCTCTCTCTCTCTCTCTCTCTCTCTCTCTCTCTCTCTCTCTCTCTCTCTCTTTAAACCCCCCCCCCCCCCCCCCCGCCACCCCGAGGGCTGCTTCCCTGGAAGTGATCCCCGCTTCCTTCGCTCCCCTGGCCTCTCCGGGCTCTGCCTGCCCTCCCACCTCCGCAGACCCGCCTTTGGGTTCGAGGTCTTTGCCTCTGTAGGTTCAGGGAAGTGCCTTCGTCTCCGTGTATTTTCAGTAACAGATTCAGTTCCCGGACTCTCATCCCCGATCACTTACTCTCAGCGTCGCAGCGGAAGGAAAGGGATTCCGTTTGGGGCAGGGAAAGCTTTGTGGAAAGTTAGGATTTGTAATTAACCTCTGGTGGAGTTTTAATCATTGTGTTTTCCTGTTTTTGACTGGGGGTCAATTGTGACTGTCAGGCAACCAACCACCTAACCCCGCCTTGTGTGTTGTTGTTGTTGTTGTTGTTGTTGTTGTTGTGTGTTCTAGTGGGAATATGGGAAATTTGCTGGTCCTGGTATCATTGTATCATTCCCTGGAACTGTTTTAACAAACCTGGCAGTTTGCATTTGGAGGCTTGAGTGTGAAGCGTAGACTCCTGGAATTCAAAATGGATTAATAATCAAACCTACCAATAACACACATCTCTCTAAAAACTGGGGAAAGATGTTCGATGATGCTTGAGTTTGGACTCCGTTTTCATTTTATTACTGGCTATCTTTCGGGGGGCTAGCTTTTCTTATACGGCGTAAGATTACTCCATTTACTAACTTACACACAACCAGTAGACCTAACTCCTCCCAACTTTTCCCAAGCCTGGAAGCCACCTGTAATAGCCTCCCTTTTCTTTCCACTTCTTTACCTCAAGGTACAAAGCTCAGTGGATTACTCAAGCTTTGACTTAGTGGAGCTTTGACCTGAAGTTTTTCAGGGAAATAGGTACAATAACAAGTTCCTCTTTTAAAAGCCTACTAGACACATTAGCCCGACTGACTTCATTCTGCATGAAAGTTACTTTGCTTTACTGATCAAAGCAAGAGTGAGCATGTCCTGAAAGGAAATTCACTGACAGGGAGTCCTGTTTTGATTTTTCATTTGGACTTTGGCCTTAAGGCTTGAACTTAAAAAAAAAAAAATGCATAATGTGAATTCTTCCAAGATACTTTGCTCATGAAGTACTGCTAGAACAAGTTATTGCTACAGACAAACCCATTATTCATTGTGACTGGTCCCTTTGCTGGAAAAAAAATATATATCATAACTGCTTGGTTCTTCTCTCTCGTGCACGAGTCATACAGGCTGCTTTTTAACTCTCAGTCCTTGCCTGGTTAGAGAGTGCAGAATATATTTAAATGGTGACATTTTAATAAACAAATTCTATATAGGGCAATAAAAATATGAGTTTGGGGGATTATCTGATATTTGAAGTAGACATTTCTGTTTATTTCTTTTCAAATGACTACTTGGCTTGCTTTGCCCAACCTTATGTTTTACCCAACACTGTGCTAATTCTTTTGTTGTTGTTTTATTTTTGATGATGGGGACAAGTGTAGTACTTACTAATAACTTCGAGCTATTGTCCTCTTCTCTCACTTCAAGATGATAAATTATAACAAGAATATTGAGCTTTTAAAAGCTCTTATAAAGGTTTTTGTATTACTTCAGATTTAGCAACTTTCTTAAACACGTTACCAAAAAGGTCAGAAAATAGTCTACGTTAGGTTAGGATGTTGATACTTACTTGGGGTTTTTTGAATATTAATCTTTTCACTGGTAATAGAAGCTACTGCAGATGCTAACTGGGATTAAGTTAGTGTATTCTCACATTTGTAGTTCCTTTTCTCTACCATTTGTGTTTATAAACTCACTTATTTAGAACTTGAATATTTCTGGTAATGTTTGATTTTTAAAAAATTCATATAAATAAGAAACCCCTACTCTATTTCTTTTCAGTGAGGTTTTTAAAATACAGTGATACTATTTTTCCTCCTTAAAATGCATTTCCAACCAGTTCTCACTAATGAAATAAATTTAAGTGTAGTCTGACCAATCAGTGTTGTTTTTTTTTCTTCTAAACACCTTCCATACACATGTTAATGTACTTTTGAGAAAATTAAGGACTTTCACAGACAGATCTGGGTTTTGACACCAGGAATTTTAGGCTTTAATGTATAGATATTTTTTCTTCTTTTGGGAAGTTTTTCTTCTAGTGAAGGCTTAATTCTCCTGCACCTTTTAATATACCCCCAAACCTGTTGCCTACTTAGTGGAATCCAATGAAAATGATCTATTTCTTTTTCCTGACAATTTCAATTTTTAAATGTTAGTATTTAACAAAAATATGCTTAGGACTTTTCACCTTTATAATCCTTACAGTGTGGATGTGGTTTCTGTGTACTTCCCTGAGGTCTTTTCATATTAGGAAGTGATTATTATAATCCATGAATTTAGGCTTCATTCATGCTATATAGTTGTTTAAGAAAGGTGTTTTGCTTTGTTTATAGGCGTCAATAGATAGTAATGTTAACTAGAGTCTCTAGTGTGATTAGAATTGTCAAACTTGAAACATATTTGTAAAAATGAACATGATTTGCTTTTAATTCCAGACCTTTTGTGGTCATCTATAACCAAGTTAGAATAGCAGCCCCTAAGAGTTCAAACATAAATTTAAAGGACTTGAATTTGCTAGACACTTATTAACCATTATCTAATTTAACCCTCTCTCTCAGCTATGGAAGAGGCAAACCATATGCATGAAAAGTAGTCTCTAATCTAATTCCAGGTAAAGAAGATTTGGAATGCTTAAAACATCCATAATGGTTGAAGTATAGACAAACACAGTTTTTAAATTTATAAATTCTTAATTAAAAAACATTCTTAACATTCTAAAGATTTAACAACTTTTAGTTTTTTTTTTATATGAATAATTTTCTTTATATTTATTTGACTGTCCTTGAGCATTTACATTGTGATATTTATCTGGAATATAACATTTATGTTAGTGGCTATCATGGCTTCATTTTATTTTTTTGTTAATCCTCACCCAAGGATATTTTTTCCATTTATTTATTTTTTTTAGAGAGAGGGAGAGAAAGAGAAACATCGATGTAAAAGAGACATAGCTATTGCTTGCCAGGATGGAACCTGCAACCCAGGAACGTGTCCTTGATTGACCTGGAATTGACCCCATGATCCTTTGATATCCTAGCTGACGCTCTAACCAATGAACCATGCCAGTCAGGACTGGTTTCACCTTTTAATCCATATTTTTCAGTTAATTTTCAGGGACACTTCATTCCAAACACCATCTGCCTTACATTCTCTAAAACAAAATCAAGATCATGTTTTTATTAAGTATCCTAATATATAAAAACCCTGGGTCCGGTATGACCGGAGGCTCAACCAACTGGAAATCAGTCTTGCAGTCAGCGTTGGGTTGCCGTGGTGACCCAGTGCTGACTGCTCTGGCTGCAGGCACAGTGACCCAGCACTGACTGCTGAGGGGGCTGCGATCAGAAGAGAGGCTTGAAGAGAGAAGCAGGGTCTGATTGTAGCCTCTGTGGCAGCTGTTGATCAGCACTTGCCTCTCTCTTTCTCTCCAGCAGTCGGGCCTCCATTTCTCTCCAGACCTCCACCTGGGCTGCTGATCAGCACTGTCTTTCTGATCAGGCCCCATTGATAGACCCAGAGACGCTGACTGGCATAGAAACCAACCAATCAGAACCAAATCTGGGTGAATTGTGACAAGCCAATGGTTGCCTAGGAGGCGGAGCTTTTGATGCTGACTGACATAGAAACTGACCAATAAGAACCAAATCCGGGTGAACTATGAGGAGCCAATGGCTGCCTAGGAGGTGGAGCTTTTGACATTGACTAGCTTAGAAACTGATTAATTAAAACCAAATTGGCCAGCAGAGGAGGGCCATTGGGGGTGAGATCAGGCCTGCAGGGGAGGGCAGTTGGGGGCGAGATCAGGCTGGCATGGGTAGGCAGTTGGGGGTGATCAGGCTGGCAGGGGAGCAAGTTAGGTGTTAATCAGGCCGGCAGGGAGTGGTTAGGGAGGCAGAAGTGATTAGGGTAATCAGGCAGGCCATCTGTGGTTAGGAACCAGTAGTCCCAGATTGTGAGAGGGATATCCTCTGGATCCCAGATTGGAGAGAGTGCAGGCTGGGTGAGGAACACACCCCCCTGCCCAGTGCACTAATTTCGTGCACCGGGCCTCTAGTCTATTGTGAACATATCTCTATGGTAGATGTAGTATGTATTTTTGTGGATTTTTTAAGTAAGAATTTGTGAACTTTGAATATATGGAAAGTGAATTTCAATTAGCAGTTTCTGTAACCATTGAAAATGTATATAAGATATTGAAATGTACTCAAGATAATTACCTCTTTAAGCAGAAGTATTGGTTTTTAAAATATTTCTTTTAGAAAACGTTATAAACATCCCCCCCCCCCCCTCTCTAGCTTGCCCCTGTCCCCCACCTCTGCCCTTCATCACACTGTTGTCTTTGTCC